AAAATACAGTAAAAATAGTAAAATTGAGAAATGGTGTTATAAATTAAATTACTGCGTTATAATTTAATATATTTGCAAATGTACGCCATTCCAAGTCTTTACTATCACAATTTCTAAAACTTCTGATTGAATCTGATTGAATTCTGACAGAAATAATAATAAAAAAGGACTACACATAAGAGCAATTGAAGGGCAAACTGTGAAGAATGAATGCAGAAGAAGCAGTAGAAGTAGAGAAAAGTGGAGCCATTTCACCAACATGCAGCTACAACTACGTGTAATAGATTATGACAGGTCTGAGGGACAGGACTCTCTGTGAGCACTCCTAAGAATAGGACACTAATGCCTTCCTGCTTTTAACACAGCAAAAACGGCATCCTCTAGTAACATTATACAGAAAGTTAACTGTTAGCTTCTCCCATTAGACAGAATGAAATGGTATTTATAATACATACTTAGGTGGAAAAAAGCTGTAGGGTTGTAATTACCCTCTTATTAAACACTTTGTTTATTGGAATGAATCAATCATGGCTAAGTGTGTATAATAGCCTTTCTTGTTCACAACTAACAAAAAAGGTCACAAACAAGACCAATGACATTTATTAAGGAAGTAAAAAAAGGACAAGTTTTGATTCCCTGTGGTTTTTAAACAACAGCTGATATGGAATTGCAAGACACGTTAAACAGAATTACTATTCCACAATAAGGCAAACGGCCTGAGATGAGTTTCGTCTGGACGGGCATGTGAAGGGTGTGTGAAACTGTAGACACTGCACTCTTAAAGGACAAGTTCAGTATTTTACACTAAAAGGCCTGTTTTAAAATCATACAGTTAGAACGGTTAAGATTGAAATTTGGACACATGCTGCTGGCCCGAGAATTTACGGTTTCTGTGATTTTTGTGTGAGCATATCAGTGAACACCCCAAACAGGGCGATCTTAAAACAGGGCTTTAAGTGTAAAATACTGAACTTGTCCTTTAAGAGTGCAGAGTCTACAGTTTCACACACCCTTCCCCCTCCCTCCCTCCATCCTTCCTCCCTTTCACTCGCCCTAATGAGTGTCTCTGACCGCTCAGCGGAGGTTGGAAGAACAGTTTTGACAGTGATGCCAGAGTTAGTTATCACTCTGTCTAAACCAAGATTAGTCTTCTTCAAACCACCCTAATGAAGAAACACCACCGCCATTTCACGAACCCAGTTTGGGGAAGTGCAAAACTACATATATTCATAATCAACAAATCAGTGGGTTGTCTGAATGACTAGTCAACCTAAAGGAAGCCTGTAAAGACTGGTTTCAAGTCACTTGATGTTTTTTTTGCGCTCAACAGCTAGAAAAAGCGGATGGAACAAAATGGAGGAGTCTTTAAAAAAAATGCTGACCACTTTCTTAAGAAACCCTGGAGAGAAGAGTTAGTTTCTCCAATAAGTCATTGTCAAGATCTGTTATTAGTCTTCCTGAAATCTAAAGAAAGATTTCAAAAGAACAAACCTTGTCAAGACTTCGTTTTCCAATCAAACCTGACATACTTTCACAAAAAGATCTAAAATAAGACACCAAATTGTCACGATTAGGACGCCTCTTGGGTCTACGTTTGATCTAGAGCTCTTGATCCCAGGATGCAAGAAAAGAGCAGAATTTCAGGTTGAAATGTGCAGAGTGAATAAATGACATGGTTTACAGGCATTATTTAGGCTGAAGGCTAGCCACCCCTTCTGTCTTTATGATGAATGTCTTTAAGAAAAAGGGAATGCAAAGACCCTGTGAAATCAAGAGATTTCTTTATGTCTTTTAGCTGTAACGAAAATAGCAACAGATCTTTTCGTCCATTTTGTGATGTACATCTGAATTAAATGATTCTATGCATCCGTTGTTGATCCGTTGTTGGATGGAGGCAGATCTGAATCCGAGCAGTCTACTATAAGAAAGGGGATGTGGACAAAATGATTAAAGTCCGGCATGCATCACAAAGAGAAGTCTGTTATTTTATCGAGTTATATTATCGAAAATTAAGAGTCAAAAGAAAATTTCCGTGTCATGGCGACTTTAAGTCATCTTGGGCCAAGTCAACACTGTCAAGCAATGTACCGGTAATGAGGTCTTTAACTTCCATGTCTAAAATGTTACATGGGATTCCAGCTAATTTACTTAATTTCACAGATCCTGTGAATTAAAGCTGATCTGACCCTGTTAACCTTGAAACCGGCTAGCCACACAAAGGTCACTGCAACCAGACTAATCAGCGGCAGCTCCTGTGTCGGACACATGACCGGCTCCAGCATCCAATACCCCAGACCCATACAGCACCGGAGGAGAGTCCGATTACTGCGGCATCGGATACAGTGCAATAGTAGAGTGGCATTTCAGTTTAAATGAGATGTGATGGTAGAACTATATAACATACCATTTCCTGCTAGAGTTTCGTGCTAATTTGACAAAAAACGTTTTCTATAACAGGACATTTTACAGGTTAGTTACAATATTTCAGTTGAAGCTAACTGCAATCATTTGTAACATTATTGTAGTTAAGAGCTGTAAGTGTTTCCCTGTAAAGCTAAATCCCACAAAGTTTGCGGTCGGTAAGATGTTTTAAATGTTTTTGAAAGAAATCTCTTATGCTCACAAAATCTGCATTTATATGAACAAAAATAAAAACAGTAATATTAAAGAACTATAAAACAAATGTTTTCCATACATATTTTAAAATCAAATTAACTCTTGTGATGTCAAAGCTGATTTTTAGCATCTTTACTCCAGTCTTTAGTGGGACATGATCCTTCAGAAATCATTCCAATATGCTGTGCAGGAACTCAAGTCATATTTATTTATTAATATCAATGCTAAACCGGTTATGTTGCCTAATATATTTGTTGAAACTTTGATATACTTTGAACTGTGAAAGTAAAAAGAAAACAGAAATACATATGAAATGTTTTCTAACATTATAAATGTCTTCACTTGAATGAAAGTATTTATTTCTTCAAGGAAAAAAAAAAACTTACTGACCTCAAACTTTTGAATGGTAGTGCAACATTAAGCAAACATGAGGCATAGGCCTCTAACTGTCCTCCAGGGTCAAAGGTCCCAGGCAATTCACTTAAAGGCATCGTGCGTTTTCCACATGATGTGGTATCCATGAAACTAATACAATCCTCTAATTTTAAAAGCATTTTGGGGTTGCGACCCACCAGCTGAGAAGCATTGATCTGTAGGAACTCCTCCAAGGTTCCCAATCAGCAATATGTTCTGGCAGTACTTATTGTTTCTTTGCTGAGTGTACAATTTTTTAACACCATATTGCTGGACCGGAAAGTCCAGTAATGCCCAACCTTCCTCCCACTTTGATCTGCAAAGCAAGTACTGGCTGATATAATAAGATCACTAAACACACCTTAGTTATTTCTTAGAAATTTCTAGAACCTTTGTATTTAAGGCCTAATATTTTACATTTACATTTAGTCATTTACCACATGCTTTTATCCAAAGCGACTTACATCTGAGGACTAAACCAAACAAGTCATCGTTAAGAGGCAATAATGACACAACAAGTGCTCAAAATACAATGTTCAACATTGCCCAGAGTAGTATAAACCAGACAAGAAGGCTAAGGATTTTTTTTTTTTAAATAAATAATATCCCTTATAATCTGAGCAGAGATATGCCAGGACAACAGCTAAACATGACTACAGTCTACAGATGATATCACCTTGCTACCACTTAACCATGCATTAGAAAACTGACACTCTTTTTGCATGCAGGGGATCTCTTTGACAATTCTTTGCTACCATGTACAAGGTCAGTGCGTTAAAAAAAAAGGTAAAGATTGTGATCAGTGTCACAAAAAAGAAATGAATTCCTCAAAAGCACAATATTTAAAATTTTGAACAACAAATTTCTAAACAATGGAAGTGTAAAAGAACATTTTAGGATTTGCGGAGTGAAAGTGCAACATGATACGAACAGATCAGACCTCATGAAAGTTTGTATTCTTGTGACATTTCTTACTGAGACGGGATGTTTGGACAATTAATGATGGTCTTGTGCCTTATTAAATAAATAAATAACCCAATATGATTGGACAAAAATCAGTGAAGAGCAGGGTGAGTCATCAAAAATTTTGGCTTTCTTATACATTTTAAATCCGCATATCTGTATATTTTGTGCAACAAGTGTATTTAGTCAACATTTAGGAGAACATTAAAAGGGCCTCAAAGCTGAAAGAAAAAGCTGCATTGACTACACATGGATTTTAAGCTTTGCACAAACATCCCTAACTTACAATCACTTCAAACTCCACCCAGAAGTCGCTGAACTAGTTTTGCAATGGAGCAGCCTAGATACCCTTTAGAGCAGAGGTCTTCAAGACCACTTTCCTGGAGAGTTTTACTTCCAACTCTAATCAAACACACCCGAATCAGCTGAGCACACCTTCGTATTGTGCTGAAGCAGGCTGGAAGTAAACTCTGCAGGACAGTGGTCATCCAGGAGCAGGATTGAAGACCTCTGCTTTAGAGTCCCAAGAGAGTCACATGGGACTGTGATTCAATCATAGAGAATAATATGTGGCTCCGTGCCTCATAAGAGTTTAAAACCACAAGGACATCAGAGGAATGCCAATAATGCATGTAATATCATATTAACAAACATCAAACGGGACTCTATGCTAAAAATACACATGATAATGCTGAAAACACTCAAGTTAAAAACCACTGCGAGCCAAACAAGAGTCATCGGAAAAGATATGATATGTATCAGGTAATTTGTACATTAAAAAGTTCCATGCCATTATTTATGCACTGATCTCTAGCTAAATGCATCATTGTTAATGTTCTTATCAAAAGTTATTATTATACAGCTACATTTTTTAAATACTAGGGTTACCTGGTACTGTATAAGTTGATGTTAAGCAAACATAAGTCCTGAGCAAGGTTTCCAGAAACTTGGTTTAGAGTCAGCCACAGATCATCAGTGCCACATAACATGTGTACCATCAGTCTCACCTCCTGCAGCGTCTTCCCATCGCTGTCCCAGATCCTCCTGGATCAGAAGCAGCGTCTGTCTTTTTGTGGCACTGCTTTAGATCGGAGCCATCCAGTAGTGTACCCGAGAACGAGCTGTCATGATCTTCGTTGTCTTTTCGCTTTCGCATCACTGAAATGTGAAACAGCAAAGATAAACAATAACACAGATGAGACTGGATATATTATACTGCAGTCCTGCGCGTATCCTCTCTGAATCAGGCGGCAAGGCCGGGGCAAATCTTGCAACCGTGTTAGATCCGGTCGTTCCGCAACGGTTTGTGTGATCCGGTGTTTCTCCTCCCGGCAATTGTGTCATTCAGCACTTTTTCTCCCTACATTGTTTTGTAGGAGTCAGATATCTGCAGAGACCAGCTGATCAGTTCAGCCTTTCCCCCTCCGTCCCTCCACGCGGCCAATCACACACCGCCGTTCGGCCCACTCCGTCGCGTCAACAGCCAATCGTCACACACCGCTCTGTTCCGCTGACCACAAATCAAAGAGCTGTAGCGCCCCCTCTTGTTCAGTTAAATCGTGAACTGTAGGGTTGCCATGTCGGTTCTGTTGTGTATATTTTGTCTTATTTGTCACTGACACATCGTATGCTCGAAAATTAAATGCTTGCATTCTAACTCTAGAGGTCGCTGCACGCTTTCTTAATGTAAAAGTGTTTACATATATTTACAAAGCAAATAGGTGTTTTATTTTAACAGATCTGGCAACATCCCATCTGTCCAAAAGAGACTTCCGTGCAGACCAAACCCGTTCATCCTGCTTTACTGTGTTACTTTAAACATGCCAGTCTACAACGTGTAATTAAACAATAAGAGATCTTGGCACTTAACAAACAAGTCTTAGATTTCCGTGTAATTTAGTAACTACATGAGCTACATCTTTTAATTAATTTACCTGTCGAAAAAAACTGTCACACGCGGCGGGTCCATGTTAAAACAAAGAAATGCACACTGTAATAATGTAACAGAATAATTATTTCCGAAACAGCCGTAAACGTATCAATGTCGAAGCACAAACCGACAGGCATGTAAAAACATTATAAACACCCAAGTCCATACATATGCAGAGTCAGGATCTCTGTTATTATATAAATCATAAAACCTAACCTGGCCATTCCAGCTGATGTGTTTTGACACGACGCGTGCACCAGAGCCGTAGCACCACCCCTGATAAGTTTAAAACGAGTTTCCTCTCACGTGACCACAACAAACAATTCAGCGGAAGAAACATGCAATCACTTTCCACAATCCACACCATTAAAGAAATGGCAAAATCAAATGTCTGTGCGTGGAAATTTAAAGGAAGTTTATTTTGAGAGAGGGCTATATGGGGACCCCGGTTGTGCAGGAAGCATTTACGTTTTTGAAACATTTTTAATAGCATGAATTAAAGTGTGTAATTAGTGTTAGCTCACTATCTTAGCCTTTTTCAGTGCATTAGTTATTATTAGTGATTTTCATTTATCAAGACATTTACATTTGGTACCGTTTTGGAGAGAAATTTGGTATTTTTTAATCTCTCCATTTAACCCATCTCTTGGTGTGTGATGCTGAACTAGGCTATCATATGAGTTTCTAAAGGTTTTTGAATTCTTTGCACAGTTATGAATATTGATATTTTATGTGCAACAACAGCATGCTCAGGCCCAGTGGCTTTTCACCTAATTTTAAATGCTTTGTTTTTCCCCCAAATAATATGATTTAAATGGTGATGAGTGTACTGATTTGATGCATTTTAAAAAGATGGATGATAGATATTCTTTAATCTTTCTTACAAAGAACAAAATATAATGTGAATTGCAGTATGTGCATTTTTTAATTGATAAATTGTAGTGCACAGTGTTTATTATATAAGGGGTAGAATCCGTGCCTCAGTACTCACTACTCACTACTCATGAGTACTTTTAAATAAGCTACTTTTTACTCTACTCAAACTACATTTTTTTGGAATGTAATGGTACTTTTACTTGAGTATGTTTTTTCAGTACTCTTTCCACCACTGGTAGTGGGTGTTCTGGTACAAAATATGGCTGCCATCGCATCATCCAGGTAGATGCTGCACATTGGAGCCCCTTTGGTGAATTTGGGTGTTTCTGTGCACCCATCCCAGCATCTTCCCTTCTTATAGCACATTATTTGCCATTTTGAGCTATTGTCCAATACATCCTTGAAAAGTACCCCTTATTGCACAACGTTTTCCTAAGGCAACAAAAAGAAAAAGAACTAATTTTGTGAACATGTAAAATAAAAACTTTAAAACCTGCCAAATGGCTTCTTTACACCTTCATACACACACAAATATTTTTTTTATATACAGTTTGTGTCAATTTAAATAAGATTACTAAAGCAAATATCTTGCTCTCTTCTCAGACTAGTCTCCTCCCCCCTATTAATAGACCCCCCCCCCCCATATTACTATATTAATACAGTTTATTTAAATTGCTGAATTTAATCAATCATTTTAATAGTAAATAAACATTTTTCACATGCATGGCATTTTTCAAATTTTTTTTTTTTCACATGGCATTTAATGATTATTGCCGCTAGATGGCCTTAGCGAGATTTAGAGGACACAACTGGAACATTGAGAAAAGTATTAAGGAAAGGTCATGAGTTGATATTGCCAAGCTCTGATTTCTGAGAGATGCAGAAATCAGAGCTTGGCAAGAAATCAGAGCTTGACGCATAGACGGATTTGTGCTCGTTTTTATTTGGACTCTCACTCATTCACATCACTAATTTTTGCATAGAGATTAGATAAAGTATTTGGCTTCAGGAACTACTCCAGTAAAAAAAACACATTTTTTTTTTTTTTTGCTTCCGACGCCCATGGCCTAAAAATATTATATATTATTATTATTTTCCACCTTTACCAAGTTAAATCTTTTAACCAGCATCAGTCCTCATCATAACTACCAAAAATGTATTCAATTTCGGGATTTTAACCCTTTAATTACCAGTTTTGGTGGCGAAACCATCGATTTGTATAGAGGAAAAAACACAAAAATTCAATTATTTTCAGTAAACTAAATGCAATGAGAAAACTTTAGATTTGGATTATCACAGTCTTGAATATGTCAAAGATTAGCAGCAACATTATTTCTGGTGCATTTAAAGATTTTGTGTTATGTCAGATTAAAAAAAAAAAAAATCACACTTAGCACATTAAAGACCAAAAAAAAAAAAATAATAAAAAAATGGCCACATATTAAACATTGCCTAAATATTATATATTATTATTTTCCACTTTTACCAAGTTAAATCTTTTAACCAGCATCAGTCATCATCATAACTACCAAAAATGTATTCAATTTCAGGATTTTAACCATTTAATTACCAGTTTTGGTGGCGATACCATCAATTTTTGTATAATTATTTTCAGTAAACTAAATGCAAAGTGAAACCCTTTGGATTATCACAGTCTTGAATATGCCATGAACATGAATTGTTACTTTTTCTCTCTCTAAAAAAAGTATTCTATAAACATAAAACTTACCAAAAACTTCAAAACAAAATGGGGTCATTCTTCAGCTCATTTGCAGGAGCTGCAGAAATGCAATGCATGCTCCTTACAGATGTAATCATCATCAATCGGCTGCGAACAAAACGGTTTTGCAGTCGGTCACAAGTTTTCTCCACTCTGTTCGATTACTAGCGGCTCTTCGCATCTCGTCAGCTGTTAGTGGTATGTCATTGTTGATTAGTTTGCAGTGAGAAGCTATGACATTTTACTTACAGTGTCCCACCTGCCTGGTTTGATTTGGTTTAATATACCACATTTAAAAATGCTAATGAAAACTGTCTGAATCTACCAAATGTACAATATCATATGGCAAACATATGAAGAGTTCAGATGCAAAAGCCTCTATTTGAAATTTTCTTCTAGAATGATCATTTTTATCAAGCTTGTATATTTAAGTTCAGTGATTTCACTTAAATGGCAATGATAATTACCTATTAATTGCTAAGTGAAATTACTGAACTTAAATATACAAGTTTGATAAAAATCATCGTTAAAGAAGAAAATTTCAAATGGCATTTAGAGGCTTTTGCATCTGAACTCTTCATATAGACCCGCCTAAACGTCTTCTACTTATTGCTTCCAAGCCAAACAAATACTATTTTATTTGTGATTTCACAAACCCTGACTGATGGAACACACAGTTATGAATGAATACATGCTGATTGATTTATGAGTTATAGGGATATAAAGCTCAGTCGACGTAAGGAAAGAATGTCTCCCATCTATTAGCTCTTATGCTTTTCTCTCCTGAAGCCATTCTTCTCATTTAGACTGTTTTTAACACCTAAATTAAAAGCAGTAACTGTTGTTCATCTGAACGCTGCTGTATGCGACATGTGGGTGTATGAGCCATCCATGTCCATTGAAGCCTCTGTTCCTCTGTCTGCGTGATAGGGTTGACGTGACTCGCGAAAAGTCTCTCCATATTGATGATGACAGAATTTCTGTTGCTTTTGTGCAAACAGCAGTCAGATTGGGCTCTAAATTACATGTTAACGGTCCTCTGATCCTTTTCACATCTCCGCTCAAAGTGCAAGCCCTCTTTTAATGTCACACGCATGAGTGTCATTTCTAAAGGCTGCTTGAGTGGGTATGTGTGTGACGCACTCTCATTAATCTGTCCCATGCTGCTCTCTGCTTTATGAAGTCCTGATTGCCTGTTCATTGTTTTCTCATTCACTTGTTTGAATACCCAACCTATAATCAAAGCTGTAAAAATAAGGCATTAAAAAGGCATGCTGCCATTTTCATGGTGACACTAACAAAGTACATTTGCATTCACACTGACTTTTTACTCATTTAAGCCATCAAAACTCACAATACCCATCAGCACAATCTGCAGGCTTCAGCTCCCAGTAAAACTGCATTATGGTATTAGAATCTGAATTAAACTGTGGCAAGTGAAGAGGAGGGGTTCAATGCCCTCAAACTTGCACTCATCTCTCTCTCTCTCACACACTGTCACTCGTTCTCTTCAATTTTTTTTTTCATTCTTCATTGCGCACAAAGCTAATGGTAACATTGAGCTCTGATTCCAGTAATTACAGTGGCTTATCAGAAAGAATATCTGGATGACAGCATCTATGTTTGAATAGAAGGATGGGAAGTTTGAAAACAAGCTTCTGGACGATTTGTCTAGGCTTTGCAACAGTTTCAGTACTCTTAGTAAAACGTAATGTTCTGTGGTCAAGAGTTGTATGGCAGAAGGCTACGCTTTAGCCACACTTGAAGAATGAGTGCACTGTATTTATATCTGAAATATCAAATTGAGCATTTAATTTTTTAAAGGATGGTAACCAGGCTTTTCACGCAGAACATTACAGAAAAAAAAAGATTCAAGTCAAACATTCTAAATGTCTAAATATTATTTATCAAGGCCAATTGCATTATTGATTTAAAACTAAAGTGTTAAAAATGTATGTATGTGATACAGTATATGAAATGACCTCAAGATAATGGATTTAAAGTTACTGTACAGAAGTCACTGAAGTTTTGAGAAAATAATTTGTTCACATATGCCACTTGTTTTGATATTTTATTTCTGCATTGAAACTCATTTCAAATGTGACTTAATATTCTTAAAATAGACTTAAAATGTATTATATTAATAAGTGACTTAAAAGTCCAAATATGTATTGGGGCCACAGTACATTTAAAGTATAGGCCTATACACAACCGTTAAAAATTTTAGAGTTATGTTTTTCTTTATGTTTTTGAAAGTGTTATGCTCACTGAGACTGGGTTTATTTAATCAAATATTTAGTACAGCACCATAGTAAACAGTAATATTATGAAATATTATAGCAGTCATTATTAGTCTTCAGTGTCACGTGATCCTTAGTTCACCCAAAAATTATGTAATTAATACTCACCCTCATGTCCGTTCCAAACTTGTAATACTTTTGTTCATCTTTAGTCCACAAATGCAGATCTTTCTGATCATGAAATCGGAGAGCTTTCTGTCTCTCCATTGACAGCTTCGCAACTGAAACTTTGGATGCTTCAAAAAGTTCATGAGTTTCAAACTAATCCATATGAATTGAGCGGATAAGTACAAATTTTCCGAAGAGACACAATTGCTTTATATGATAAACAGATGGTGAATTTAGACTTTTATTCACATATTAAACATTCATCAACTGTTGTGGTAAATGGAAGATCCTGCTTGACATGCGAGAACCAAAGAGGTTCATTCTCGTGTTACGCAGCACGTTTGAGCTTGCAACACTATCTCACGACCAATGGAGCTTCTGTTTTGCTGGTAAATGTTTTTCTGTGAATAAAAGCCTAAATTAAATCTTTTATCGAAGAATATAAGCAAGTCTATTCAGAAAATTTGGAATAACCCGTTCAATTCATATGGATTAGTTTTACAATTTTTTTATGAACTTTTTGAAGTGGCCAAGTTTCAGTTGGAGCAAAGAGAAAGCTCTTAGATTTCATCAAAAAGATCTTCTTTTGTGTTCTGAAGATGAACGAAGGTCTTACGAGTTTGGAATGACATGAGGGACATTACTCTAATTTCATAATGCAATGAACATGATATCCAGCTCTGTTCTGCCAGTGTGCTCACCACTAGACATACAGTATACAGAAGGCCTATAATGATTAATGATGTATAGCTTGACTTCTGATACTGTATGCTCATGTTAAATCATTTCAGCTCTCATCTCTGTTTTCAAGGCCCTTGTATTGGTTAGTTGTGGGTGTTTCTGTTAAATAAACAAATAATCAGACAATAAAATAATTACAGGATTACCTGATAGAGGGGCGAGAAACATGCTTCACAATGCTGAAAATGTGTCAAGCGGCCACTTCTGCAGATCATGATTCTGTTGGTGACAGAGCTGTATGTGGGCAGGGGAATTTTCAGAGAGATAGGCTACACCACCCTCTCACTATCACCCTAGCAACCAGCCCAATTCTGACTGATGTGCCATTCTGATGATCTCACCTCTTTGGTAAGCTTCCTAAATCTCTCTCTCATACACACACATTCACAGAGAGACCCTGTCCTGTTTGAAGTTGAGTGGTCCTCCACTCCCTCCTCTGTTAAAATAACACATACACCCCTGCCGCTTGCACAAATTGAATCAGAAGTGCTTTGCGTTTAGACTCATATTCAGATAGGGTGGGATCCTGGACGAGAGTGCTTGAGTCTAACTATAATTGCTGGGTATTCATAATAAAATCCTTTTATTAATACTTACCTGCCGCGTAACGGTGGGGACTAGTGAGGATGATGTTTTAAGTACTCTCTGAGCCCTGGAAAAAGGACCCACAAATGGACAGTGAATGATATTAAACTAGCCTACCTCACATCCGTTTTTTTTTTTTTTTTTTTTTTTTGGTTCTATAGCCTACCCCTGAAATCTCAGTTAATTCTACACATAGCAAAAGTAGCCTAGCTAGTGTATGTGTTTTTGTTGTTTGTTTTGTATCGATATATAATATAATAATTATATAAAATTGTATATTATTATTAATCTATTTTTAAATACATTTTATATTTTTATTTTTTTCGAATCATCCCGCAGTAGGCTACTCGCGAGTCACATGTTTACACATAACACTAGGGGGCAGTGTTGATTCTTTAAAAATTATCTTTGCCTGAATAGTCAAATGTGGATTAGATGCTCATTTCATCAGATTTTATTTGTCGGGAATTACCTCTATACAGAAATTACGTTTAATAAATAACGAAGCTGAGTAATTATTACCCTAAAGTTAGGCCAGAGTTTAGTTCAATACATAAATGCCAAATTTGTATTTGGTGTGAGGGGAGACAGACGGAGAGCTTGCACATTTGGGACGGACCAAACGAGCCTTTTAAAGTAAACAAGAACATTTCCTTGGATATGTTGATTCAGCTGTCATTTAATATTTTACTTAATCAAAATAATTCTGCCATAATCATGACAAGTCCCAGTAGATCTGTCACTCTTCACAGCCCTGAGCTCTTCAAGAGTTTTAATTGTTCATAAGCTGTACACTCAAATTTCAGCACAGGGCTGAGGCCTAGCACCAAAATGTCCTTGATTTCAAATAATAAAATTATACATTAGTGCTGAAACAAGAAAACAGTGGCATTTCTCTTTTGAACTGAATCAGTCATTCTTTGCAGGACACAAGAGTTAAGTGGCCACTTTGGAGTATAAAAACCTTCCTGAATGGAACAGGTTACAGTTCAATGTCTCATACATCATAGCTCATTGCTGAAGGGCCTAAAATGTACTCTCGTCACACCAAAAAAAGGACCCTTTTCCCTTTATAAACAAAAGCATATACTCTTGACAGATCCATAGAAAATTTATAACGACCTCTAAACTCTTAAAATCTGGTGCCATTATGTACTTTAAGTTGATGTGTCAATGAACTAAATTAAAGTCTGTGAGAATATTGCTTTTATTTGTGTATAGAATGGTAGAATTTACAGATGGGAAATAAGGCTTTATAATTGAATGGCTTTTTTTTCAAATAAGAACAGTGCCATTATGTATGTACATAGGCTGGAGAAACACTGCCATGTTGATATCCATCTGGAAGAGATCTCAAGTCAAGGTCTCTGACTAAATCTTCATGATATAAAAAAAAATCTTCATTTATAATTATATTTTTTATTTTTACCATTTAGAAATTATATGTAAAGTGTGTCAGTTTAAACCAGCAGCATCTAGATTTTTTAAAAACCTAGCAACCTTCATGATGTAACCTTCATGATTTCTTTGTTTAAATTAGTTCAGAGTTAGATTTAATGTAATTATACCTTGACAACTATACATCATTAAAAATAAGCTTCAATCATGATCTTATGCGTGTAACGGGTTGTCCCACTCTCACACAAGTAAACACATTATCAGAGAAAATATGTCATTGCAAGAGGGAGGGGAAATCTAAGCAGATATTAATTAAAATAAAACAATGTGTATGGTTACATCAGTCATAATAATTCCATAAAAAATAATAATGGTAAATTTTGATTTCATGAATGCTTAATTTTCTTTTAAAAATGTTACATTTCTGTAAAATTCTCATATGTTGTAACATGATATTATCGTCACCTCGTAAAATTTGGGTGGTTAAAATGATGCATAAAATGCCAATAGGGAAGCTCCATTAATGTGCATAATGGGTGATTTTCATATTTCCATTCCTCTTTTCTTCGAGCCTTTTCTTCCATTCATAAATGGAATTTATGCATTCATAAGTGCCTGGCAGAATTTGGTCTTTTTTTTTTTTAACTAAGAAAAATTAAATATAAGGTTCATGAAGTAATAATGCCATTTTTAACTCTTAAGAAAGAATCTCATTGAAGAATTAGCCCCTCTCGGATTTAAAAGAGAAGAATGATTTAGCACAAGGTCACTCATTTCATACACAAGGAACTTAACTCGGCCGGGTTTTTTTTTTGAAATAACACATACTTTTTATTGAGTGACATTTTGGCTGTTAGTACTTGGCATAAATTGAAATACAGCTGCAATTTTCTTTTGATGTACATATGACAAGAGCAGTGAAACTTTATCCAATTAATAAAAACAACCCAGTAGGTATACTCTAGGGGTGAGCAGCCATCTTGGATCTAAGTGAATGACTAGGTGATTTTCAAGCATTTAAAGCACAGAATCTAGCAAACTGTGAAATTCCTTTGTTTTGTTTTTTTTCACACCCTTTGACCTGGTCCACTTTTAGTTAAACCAAGTTAAATAACATAATGCTGAAAAAGCAATCAAAATCAAATTCACAGTGAATTTATAGCAAACGTCGCCCCAACAGGGCCGAGCATTTTAATACTTTAAAAAGAGTGAAGAAACTGAAAAACAAAAAATAGTGCTTTTATGTGATTTTACAAACACATCATAGCAATAACTACATGTTATAAAGAGGCTATACATTGTGTCATTAATAAAAAAATAAAAAATAATAGCAAAGCTGCCCATGAAACGGTATGGTGCAAAACAAGTTAAAACAAAAGCAAAACTTTAAACCAGCAGAACAATATTTTATGTTTTAACATTCACCCTATCAATACTCTCAGAGCAAAAAAGGTGTGCTTACTTCACAAATATGCACGTTTGTAAAGTTGTATGTCTATGTGTGTACGTATATATCACACGCGATGACATCCCTGCCTTGCACAGCCAATTATGAGAGTGATTTGTGGTAGCTCGGGTTTTATTATCCAGAGATCTATTTAGTTTAAAATAGAATATTTAAATGAACCAAACCAAAAAAAAAAAAAAATATTTCTCATATTTATTTGGTCACTCATGCGAATCGTGCAGAGCAGATGCAATTAATCACAAGAGCAGCAAATTCAGATTACATTACGATAAGCGTTAGCATTTAGTGTGTTGCTTGCTATTTTTCATTTCCAATGATATTACATAGTTTGATGATATTTTATTCACAATCTGGCAGATGCTCGTGTGACTTTTGATCCATCATGTTTTTGATCCAGGATCTGTGCTTTATCACAAATTTGACCTGTCCTGTGCAAGAATGATTTGGCGCTTCTCGTCTTACATTGCTATGCAAATCTATAGAAAAGCAATTGGCTGACGCATATTTTTCCAAGAAGGCCAAAAATGCTGTCTTTCAAAGAACATGAACATTTTCATCGTTTTTTTTTCCACCTCAATGATCTAAAAATGTTAATTAATACAATTTCATAGCAACATTACAATTTTGCAGCTGAAGCTTTGACACAGACGGCACACTGGCAGAATAGCATGATGGAGCAAGTGGGAATAAAATGTGGAATGTCACATTGCAATAGTTTATTGCTTTCATTTAGCGTTGCATTTATCTCAGTATATTCCAAACCAAAAGCACACCTATTGCCTGTGATTTGTGGTATTCGTCTACAGATTAAGATCTGAGTCACCTCATTTCCCCAGAACAAAATATACCACAATGTTAAATGTCTTATTTCAAATGATAACTGTGAGTAAAGTTGTCAAGGTCAAAGGTTTTCAAGTCTTGTGATATTCAAAATGAGCAACCAAAGGCAATTCACAAAGCCGCATATGAGATTTGGGAAATGGGAATTGCAAGTTAGGAATCACAGGTTTGTTTGGGGTTAAGATAAAGAGAGATTTGTGGTTTGGATTAGGGTCAAATCTGAATTTACTATCCATGTGAAGGCTGGTGAGAGTGAAAAAAAAAAGAACGTGTGCTCTTAAGGCCTGCATACACACACTGCTCATAAAGCTGCTAACGCTAAAACAATGCTAGAAATCTGTACAATATTTTTAAATACTGTATATACAGAAATAAACATTTTCATTTGACACATATTCTTCAAAATAATCTCCTAAATAAAAATACTAAATAAAAGGGAAAAAAATCAGTGACATCTCTTTCTATAAGAGCAGTATTAAAGGCAACTAGCATATAGCGATGGCTATTCTTTCAAATCATGTTTAGGTGCAGCTAGCAAATACCATCTCTGCCACTTCAAATGATGATTTAAATTCACATTCTAGGATTTATGCTTTCTCATTCCGCTTAGAGCGACATACTGACCAACAATATGAAAAGATATGCTGCATTTTGGGACAAACGAAATGGCGCCCTAAACTAGAGTCAACGCAAGTGTCCAGAACTCCTAAAATGCCTTGACGTGCATAAAAGAAACCCATAATCAAGATAATGAAACGTAAGAACAACAAACAAAAAAATATGAGATTTATGTTGTGTTCTGCCGCATAGCACTAGTAATTTTGTCATGGACATAAGCACCTTTGTGATGTGTAGCGGTACCATTCTTAAAGTTCTGTTTCAGACTAACAATTTGGTCACCAGTCCAGCAGCTCAAACCAACTGCTTTACCTCCTCATTGTAACCTAAATGAATGAACTGGTTCTGGACTGGGCCTTGGAGGTAATAGGCCAGAGTTTCAGAGCAGAGCAGTACATTTCGTAAGAGAACAATGTTATATTGTGAGTATAAGACTGATGTAGCTGCCTTAACCTGAACTCGACTTGCTAAGTTAATACAATATGCTATCCCAAATTGCACTACTAGCAATACGCAGCTGTATTTTGGCTCTATCCATGCAGAGTTTGCATCTCTGTGCAGAAAATAGCCATAGCCAGACTACACAAATAGATAATACAAGCATACAGAGAATAACGGACTGAGTCTAGATGAAGAGAGCGTTGGTAAAAATGAACAGAATGAACTCAACTTTGGCCAAATAGGAGAAATTCTTTTCTTTCTGAAGTTGAGTCCAGTTGTGCATCTGGAAATTGAAATGACTAAATAAAATAACACGAATGGCACAGTTATTCAAGCGAATGTCACATAGAAGGTCGGCAAACATGGTGTATTAGTTGAGACTCCAAACCTACAAATCTCAAGATCAATCTCAATCTCTATTTTTAGTTTTACCTTTCTTTTCTCTATCCTTTTACACTGCAAAACAATACTTTTAATCAGTATTTGGTCTTGTTTTCCAGTCAAAATATCTAAACATCCTCTAAACAAGAAATATTGACTTGAGAAGCATAACAGCATGAGATAAAGGACTATTTTTTTTTTTACCATTTTATTTGTATTACCCTGTAGTTTTCTAGTAGAAATCTACAATTTAATGATGTTTATAACAAGAAAATAAAACAATTTGCAAATAAATATAATTCAATACGCAACTGATTCAAAGTTTGGGGTCAGTACATTTTTTCGAAAAGTCTGCATTTATGTGATCAAAAATTTTCTGTAATTGTGTACAAATATAAATAATATTACTATTTTTAATTTTGTAATTTATTAATGTGATGGCAAAGCTGTATTTTCAGCACCATTACTCCAGTTTTCAGTGTCACATGATCATTCAGAAATCATTCTAATATGCTGATTTGCTGCTTAAGAAGCATTTCTTGAAAACGTTTTTTCTGCTTAATCTTTCGTAAAATTATAAATGTCTTTACTTGGACTTTGTTGGGACATTTCACTGGAAAACTTGACTAAAATACGGAGTTTCTGCAGTGTTGTTTAGTCATCCCTCATCTTTTTTTAGTGACTAAGGAAATCAATGCTAGCTTTGACACTGCGAGAGGTAGCCACATCAATAGCCATGGCTCTTATCTCCGTGTCTCCGAACTGCATGAGCGTCTGGATCTCTCTTCGTGCCGCTGGGCTCTCAGTACCGCTCACATCCAGCTTCAGCGTACCGCACTTCCTCACACCTGGGTCTGAGATGAAAATGGCAGACTCTTTTTCTGAGCAGTAAACGTGGATGACAATCACCTGCTGCGACGGCTTCGCCGGTGTGTAGCTGCGTTTTACCGTTTCACCCAGCGCCACCGACTGATCGGCAGAGATGAACGTATCGAAAACGTCGGTGCACCAGCGCGTACCGTCCTTTACAAGCATCTTCTCGGGCGGGTGCTTCCCTTCTATGAAACGGTTAAGGACGCCAACGCCGTAAGTGAGCGGAGAGCGGCGCACCTTTATGATGCTAGGATCCAGACCGAACAGCACCGCCCCCTTGAGGATGGTCAAACCCACATCATGCGGAATAATAATTCGGCTGCGGCCCTGAAGCATATTCTGAACCGCCTGCTGCAGCAGTGGAGACTCTGCGAATCCCCCCACCAGGAAAAGGAACTTGATGTCTGTCACCTCCGGCCTGTCGAATAACTCAGCTGGAGAACAGATAGCAGGGAGAGAAAGAGAAACAGGATTTTGACAAATGTCATTGCAAGATTTATTACTACAAAATTGAAATCTTTGCATGTTACACATTTACTCCGGTTTTCATCAAAATGCCAAAAAATGAAGTTCATTGGCAGGGTTGTTTCTGCTTGCAGTTTTTGTTTGAACAGATCGCAGATGTAACCAACATGAGAGCAGTGGGACTGAGTTCTGACCCAGTTCTGTGTGTACTGGAGTATTTTGGGCAGATGGTCGAGACTCCTCTGACTGGGCCAACGCATGCCCTAATTGTGTTTTCCAAAAGCTCATTAGTTTATACAGCTTTACAGATTCTACTCAAGGCTGGAATACACAGCACAACTTTTGCACAGCCCCAATTTTCAGTCAGGAGGAGTCAATGCTAGCTGTCGAATATCATAGCCAATCTGCAGATATTGAGCAGAGAAAATTACGAAGTGTATGAAGGACACAGACTACAATTATTTCGCTTCAGACTACAGGACAATTCATACTGCACCAAAAGACACCAACCATCGTGAACAATGACCAGATTACAGTATATGTTCAATACATGTTCAATCCAATCCCAATAGACAGGGGTAACACACGATTTGTTGGTGTAGTGTGATTTGGCCTTTTGATTCCATTCCAACACAATGATCAGGCTCTTATTCATGCAAAAGCTTTTAACCCATTAAAGCACGATAGAACACAAATGAGAAGGCAGCACAGTGCTGGTGCGTCTGTGAATCTCCTGTCGGTGTGACACACACATGACTCGTGTGCATTGAAAGCTGCTTAAGACAGCACTTGAACGAACAAAACCAAAAAATTATGCCAAAATGCCAGGCATTTTTCATGTGCGCCATGTCTTAAAGTGACAGAAGCCTAATAAACCAGCTGCTGTCTGTCAGTAACGATAATCAGAGAACAAAAGAAAAAAAGATGTCATTAAACAAATATTTCAAATGTACTGTATTTGTTGTTTCTACGTTCTTTTTGAGATTAAACGTGAAAATATTACCATATAAAAATATGCAAGAAACTTTAATGTTAGTTGGGATTAACTAATTAAATTGCATATTTTTCTGTAATATGAATTGATTTTCTTTTAATCGATTGACAGCACTAACATAAAATATATGGAATTCAATGCAGTACATTTTTGTTATTTTTTTATATATAAAAAAACTTTATGATATTATATACAGCGATGTTATTGTAAACTGAAATTAAAAATATTGGAAATTATTTTCAGCAATTGAACTTAAAAGAAAAGTTTCATATTTGCTTTAAATAAATAAATAAATAATAATTAGTTTGTTACATATACGTATTTTTCATTCCTGTTCTATGCTGAATACTGTTTAATTCAAAAGTATTTTCTGTGGGATTAGGGGAAATATACAAGTTTATAATGTTTGTTGCAGTTTCATTTTATTTACAGGTATTTTTCATTAGTTCTGATCAAATGTAATAATAAATTGTGACCTATACACAGATGCAACTTATCTGTTTTTTTCTTCCCTCAACAATGCAATTTTGACCCGATGTGAAAGTGAGGTGCTGACATAAATCCAGAAGCAGCACGATCCCCATTAATGAAATCCCTTAAATATATACATTCTATTAAATATTGTATAATTAAATGACATTTATAAAACTTGTTATTAGTTACGCATGTATCCAAAGCACATAACCTTCCATCAACACCCAAATCCGAACAACAAACACTCCCATTTCACAAACAACTCCAGAGATGTCAATCCTATCTGAATCGGTACATTACATACAGGCATAGTCTGTCAATAATTGTAACTCATATGGCACATTGTTCCAGTAGAAAGGGGAGAGTACTCACTCAGGTGCTGTATAATGTGGTCTATAGTTGGTTTGAACAGTGCATTCATCGCATCTGGACTCATTCTCAGCATTCCCTGCGAAGACCACTTCACAAAGTCCACACTGACGAAGAGAGACAAATAGAGAACCAGTGAGAGTTATAGACTGAAAATAAATAAGTGTCCTCATTTGGCCTCGGCGCAGTTTAAAAGCTTTCTTTTAGAAGACTACTGTACTGAGAAACCTGATATTATTGAGATTACATTATTAGGTTTTACACTGCTATAAAAGTCAGTAGCTGTGTTTTCCAGTAAGCAGTTGCATATATTCCCATAATGCTGTGCAGTGCAGTGTAATGCAGGGCTGAACGAGTGCTCAGATTAGCCTGCATGTTGGAAAAACTCTCCCCGGAGAGACATAAGAGCTCAAAATCTATAACACGCAAGTTAGAGTAGTCTTACTCGTGGTTCTTGATTGATTACCTCATTACTGTGTTAGGAGGAAAGAATAAATTTAACTCTTAAATAATTTAACAGCGTTACATTTTTTTGCAAAAATGCTAGAATGATAAAACTAGATTCTGATACCATTATAACTAGTTTTAGAAGACTACTATTTTAAGTCATTTTCGGATAATCTTTTTGCTTGGCTGTGAGGTGAAAAAAAATGTAGCCGGTGTTCTGTCGATTTTTGCTGCCTTGTCGAAAAATGCTACCGTAGCGCGAATTGATCACAGAATGCCGATTAAAGTCGTATGAAATACAATTCTAATACAATTCTAAGTTATGAGTAGCTACTGTATATGTAGACTACTGTTTTTATTTTTAAAACGGTGTGAAAAGTAAAAATTATCATAAAATATTCATCTTTGACTTGTCAAAGTACACCTTTTCTTATAGTAACTGAAACTTTCAGTTTTTCCTTTTCAGCTGGCTGACCGTACAAATATTCATATGGTAGTAAGCATTTTTTAAAGGGAAATTATACATTATAACAGGAAAATGTACCTTTTGTAAAAAAAAAAAAAAAAAAAAAAAAAAAAACTGTGAGTCTGCACATGCGCATAACCGGTAAGTAGGAAATCTCGATGGGTAGCATGAATTGTCAGAACAACGGATCTATAAAATGATAACTTTAAGACCAGACAGAAGCCTCCGCAAGCAATAATCTAATCTGATAAGCGTTTATCATGTCCCCATGTTCCTATGCTCTTGATTATGAAACACTAGCACATAGTCAGCAATCACACACACAGACATGGTATTCATTTAGCTGACTTGGCCATCTTTATACAGGGCATGATGGCTTATTGAATGCCTGTGTATACGGTATTGACAACAGTCATGAATAGACAGATTAACTCTCCAGGGGCTGTAGGTCACACATGCCCGACCTCAAAAGAGGCAGACAACAATTACCGCAAAGGCAGAGAGTCAGCAGGAAACAGTCACCCGTTTAAAGCAATGGAGAAAACTATAAGTGAATCAAATCCTGACCTTTATGGTGTGTGTGTATACACATACATCTATATGGGTGTGTGTGTGTATTACATAAGGCCCTTCATTGCTGCTCGCATCTATATATCTATATATATATATATAATGTATATACACACCTTGACTTTAAATTGTTGCTCTCCAGCCACTGTGGCTAGAAGTTTCCCATATTTTCACTGGCCATCAATCAATATAATGGGGAAAAACTGCCATATAGACCTTTTTAATATCACCTCATAATTTTTGCTGCACAATCCTGTTACACATGTCTTCTTTCTCTTTACCCTGTTATACTGTTATATACGTTTTCTTTCTCAACTGTTTACATTTACTTAAAACATTACATTATTCTGTGTGAATTTGACAGTTTAAGTGCAAAAAGAAACTCCATTTAGAGGCGGCTTTATGTGTGCGCACTTTGGGTGTGAGCACAAAATCTGCAGGAATGAGTAAAATTATGCGCAATACGTGCAATCCTACGACAAAATTCAAAACCCATCTGTCAATTCAATACAGATTATTTATTTTCCAATTAATAAAAATAAATAAATAAGTAATAATAATAATTAAAAAACAAACAATAATATGAGGAACTCTTCTTCTCATGTGTATTTTGGTGACATTTAACATATTTTTAATATATTTTGTATAATGTTTACAAAGTTGCATAGCATAAACCAGCCAGATCTCTGACGTTTTACAATCTTTATAAATAAGACCACAATAATAGTTTGGAGATAAACGCTGTCAGATAAGGCAATTTGCAATTTTTAGTAGTAGCTTTTTTCAGGTCAGAGCAACTACCCCTCAAAATTCCTGTGCACATCCCTAAAAAGCAGCTATTCCAAAAGGGGGGAAAACATACATGTTTCAAGCAGCAAGAAAGTGTATAGATAATGACGAAACTGAAAGTTTGGTGGAACCTGACTGGACTGTGATTATGGGTAATTTCTGCCACATTTAGACACTCACTTGCTCTTCCTCAGTGCATGCTCCACACTGTGTCCTCTGAATTTCTTGTAGTAGTCGATGAAAGAGAAGGGCAGGTTAATATTCAGCGGGTTGCTTCGGTCAGGAGCTGCGGCTCTCTTACGAGACTCAAACGCGATCATCAGATCCACCCAGGCGGCTGGACGCTTGATCTTAAACTGGTCGATGAAATCCTGCCCGAATATCTTACACAGGAGCTTCTCAAATTCATAATCTATACCGATAGAGCCGTGCGGGCCTCCTACGGAGAGGATGGAAAGAAGAAAATGACTTCAGATGATTGGAAATAGGATTTTCAGATATTACATCAGAATAGCAGTTATCTTTAAAGTAAAAGCTTCTTTATATTAAGCTAAAATGTTAATCTCAAGCTACTAGCCATAAGAGTTGTGTCTTATACCTGAAGCTTTGTAAAGCTCCTTCAAGTGCCCTTCCGGCAGCCGGATCTGATGCACAGTGAGATCCACTGTCCCTCCTCCACAATCCACCACCACATAACGGTCACCTACAGCAGCAGAAACAACATTTGAGGCTCACCAGGAAAAAAGAAATTAGTGGATCTATATCTTGTCTGGTGACATTTCATTCTTTTCCATAAACTCTCTGCAGATGTTGGATGGGAGTAATGGAAAAATGCTTTTGCAAGGTGACCTACATTTAGAGCTCACTGGTTGGGATTTCAAATCGAAGCCTTTGGAATTAAAGGTTTATGTAGGTTTCGTATATTATTTACTATATACAGTTCACCCAAAAATACATCTCATTATTTACTCTCTAATGATGGTCCAAACCATAATGACTTTTTCCCCCCCAAAATAAGAATCTTGAACATTCTGAAAAATATCTTCTTAAAAACATACAGGTGTGGAAAAACAACAACATTCAGGTGAGTAAATGATGACAACTTTCATTTTTTGATGAACTATCCCTTCAACACTGAAAATGTAGTGAAATTTGAAATGATTTTAAAAAACTAATTTGCATGGAGGTTATTCCAGGAGTGATGAACAGGTGAAGTTTGCCGAGGAAATTTTGACGGTTGAGCCGCTGCTAATTCAGACAGCAGAATAAGTCCGGGCTCCCTAGAGCAGGGCAGGATCTTCCTTATGCTCTCAGCTAGGGTGCATCTAGTCTCAGTTGGTACATCCATAGACCACACTCACTGACTTTAATGCATATAGCAAAAAAATGCCAATCTGATTGAGTGGCTTGATACAACTTATTATGTGAAATAATTATCAAGTATTACTTTTGGACAGACGAAAATTCTAAAGACAATGTCTATACACATCAGTGCATTAAAAAAAAAATCATACTGTAATCTGTTGTTTGACGTGTGAGTCAGTCTCTTCATATCTGATTGGATGATTCTTAGCCAGAATAAGCTGCATCAAGGTCCGTTTTTTTTTTTTTTTTTTTTTTTTTTTTGAAAGGTCTAGCTATTTGAGACTAGAGCATCCTTCTTAAGAGCTTCAGGCTTTCTTAACTTGACAGCAGCATTAGAAATAGCGGGAGCAAAATACTAAAAGAAAAGTGTGAGAGAAGACAAAGACTCTACCTTCAGTGAGTTCAGACCAGAGCTCTCCTATGACATTCTCCACCAGAAAGGTGCGGCTCTGTCGGTTACGGCGCACATGCTCCTTGGCTGGTTATTGACAGAAAGAGACAGGAAGTGTGTGTGAGAGGGAATGCAGCGTGAAGCTATTTGTGTGTGTGTGTGTGGCATTTCTATAGGCAAGGCGACAGGATGAGAAAGGAACATGGGCTGCATGTGATTTCTTTGAGCAGGGTGATGCTGCTGGAAAAAAAGCAGACTAAATTTTAGGAAATTTATGAAATAAAAAAGCAGTAAAATAGCTGGCATTTTTATGTTATTTACTTATTTGACAAATAAAGAAGTGTGAAGTCCGCACACTGAAAATTACTGCTCCAAAGTACTTAAAATGCAACGTTTCGACCCTCAGGTCTACATCAGGCATTTTTCATTGAAAGACTTCCTCTCTTTTTCACTTTTGTGAACTTCCTGTCTGGAACCGGAATGTAAAACTCTGTGCCTTCACTGCAGAGGGGGAGAGTGTCCTGGTCTGATAAAGGGCAGTTGGTCTGATGACATCAGAGGATAATGGCCATCCTGACAGTTGTACACATTCCCAAACAGGAAGTGTTAGCTCTAAGGGAGAGTGACTGCATGGAGACTGATGTCAGATTGACATTTCCTCCAACTCACAGAAAACAATGCAGACATTTTTTTTTTCAGTACATGGCAAGTTCTGAAGGGGCGTGGGAGACCTAACAACTGCTCCATCTAACAGTGTTTTTAACACACAACAGACCCACATCTGAAATTTTACAGTCTATTTTAGATTATCGAAATATTAAAAATTTACATTGTTTTCACAAAAATATTAAGCAACACAAATGTTCGCAACATTGATGATAACGCCTGTTTCACACTAGTTATAGTGTGAAGTGAAGTGATGGTTGTACCCAAGTATTTGAAGGTTGAGTATGCAAGCCCATTGGCTACTGATACAGCAGGAACGAATCAGCTGTGCTCTATAGATAACGATGTGATTACAAGCAGGTTGAGTTAAGGATCCATTGGCCCGCACCATCTAGAGTTTCTTCTTTCTCAATACATTGTATTAATCATAACTTTAAAGATTAATACAAAGTTAAAATATAGTAACATACTTATACTGTGACCCCTTTCACCCTTCAGAACTGCCTAATTCTACGTGGCATTGATTCAACAAGGTGCTGAAAGCATTCTTCAGAAATGTTGGCCCATATTGATAGGATAACGTCTTCCAGTTGATGGAGATTTGTGGGATTCACATCCAGGGCACGAAGCTCCTGTTCCACCACATCCCAAAGATGCTCTATTGGGTTGAGATCTGGTGACTGTAGGGGCCATTTTAGTACAGTGAACTCATTGTCATGTTCAAGAAACCAATTTGAAATGATTTGAGCTTTGTGACATGGTGAAGTAGAGGATGGGTAGGCCGTGGCATTTAAACGATGCCCAATTGGCACTAAGGGGTCTAAAGTGTGCCAAGAAAACATCCCCCACACCATTACACCACCACCACCACCCTGCACAGTGGTAACACAAGCTATCAGCTTGAATCAGTCGGCCCATTCTCCTCTGACCTCTAGCATCAACAAGGCACTTTCGCCTACAAGACTGGTGCACACTGGATGTTTTTCACACCATTCTTTATAAACCCTAGAAATGGTTGTGTGTGAAAATCCCACTGAACAGATTGTGAAATACTCAGACCGGCCCATCTGGCACCAACAACCATGCCACGCTCAAAATTGCTTAAATCACCTTTCTTTCCAATTCTGACATTCAGTTTGAAGTCACACAACGGCTTTCTGTTTCAGGATCTCCTAAAGCAAGCAACCATGTTCAAATATACAGACTATCTAAGCACAAATACTACTGCTAAAATAATCAATAAACATGTCATTCATCCATTCTTTTCAGCTCTCTATTTATAGAACAGCATATGCAAAGAGAGCACATGCAATTTTAGACTTTTTCACCACAGCACCATTACTTCAATAATTGCTGTTATTTTCATATTTACTGCACAAAATCTATCAGGTCAAATTCTTACTGTGTCACTTCTTTTGTAAGGTTTACAGTTACAGATGTGCTTGCTGATGTCATTAGACTGAGGTCACTAATATCACAAGTCCCCTGATATATATATTTTTTTTTTACAGGAAAGATAGTTCTGTTTCAGATGTAGCATCTGGACCAATCAGACACAAATAAATGAATCATTATATTTAATGAACAATTTCACTCTTCCCACAAAGTTCTATGAAACTTCCCCCACAAATGATGCCTACCAACTGGCAGACCTGTTACAGGACACATTAAGCCTGATAACAAGCTTTACGACCCAACAGAATTAAGAACTCTTTTAATCATATATATATATATATATATATATATATATATATATATATATATATATATATACACACACACACACACACAACCATTTTCCATCTCATAATTTTCCTTTTATGTGGTTTGGTCTTTCCTTTATGTGGTTTGTGGTTGTTTCACTCTCTCTTCTAAACTATTTTGGTCTGAAACATGACTTGCATACTATGGTTAACCAAAATCATATGCGTAGCATGTTTATTCTCTATAAAATCCAATCTTCGTTCCCCATGTTAATTTACATTACATTTGGCTAACTTTGATGAATTAGTATTGTAAGAACCTTGAAGATTCTTTTCGTAAACACTCAATGAAATTAAACATTCAAATGCCCTGCTAGAAGACAATGGGTCATAAAAAGTCCCATCCAAAGGGATGGCTTCGCATTGGCTCACGCACCTCCAGAGGGTGTGACATTTTCACACTTTAAAAATCACTCATCATCAAGATCAGCTCTCTCTCAAGGCTGCGGCCTTGTCATTTAATTCACAAAGATCCTCTGACTCCCACTGATTCTCTCTCATCAAGACCACATAAGCAAAGATCAACTGGAGCCTCAACAAATTGCATAAGGACCGTTTACTACAAATGGACGAGACATGCAAGTATCAAAATTAGACTCATTATGTGACACATAAGTAGCCTTACTTACCCCTTTTCAAGAAGGGCGTGTTAGAACTAAACTGATGGTTTGCTCAGGCTGTTGATCTGCTGAACTTCAAACAAATAACTTATTGCTTTCCTGTATTCTGTCTGTAGCATGCATGTATGTGTTTGTTAGCGTAGTTAAAATGTTTAGTCTAGTTAATAAAATCTTGTTCTTGTCACACGTAAAGTTGTCCGTGTCTCAAGCTCATATCTGGAGTCATTAATCATAGATCTTGACTACTTGCTCTTAGTAGTATTTAGTTAGAAAGACATCCCCCATGCCCCGGAAATGCACATTTCTATTAATCAATTAATAACCAATATTGAGTGTTCATGGGATGAACTTGGCTGTAATAATGTTAATGTAGCTTAACCCGATTAACTGATCCAAATATTCGTAACCAATTATAACAAGTTATGATTGATTATTAATATTTCATAGAGCTAGTTTGCTACACAGACATACAGTTAAATGGACCAAATAACATTCTTATTGTAAGTTAACATTCTTAAATGTTGACATCAACCAAAAATAATTAAACTCTTTACAAATGTGATTAATTGTACAAATGGTCCAGAAACAGATTAACATTTTTGTTAACATTTTTTGCTATAATTAAAAATGTTTTCTTTCCAGGGGAATGAAAGGCATGACCTTACACAAATTACATGCTTATGAAAAAATGTGCATGCAAACTTCAAGAGAGAGAGAGAGAGAGAGAGAGAGAGAGAGAGAGAGAGAGAGAGAGAGAGAGAGAGAGAGAGAGAGAGAGAGAGAGAGAGAGTGAGAGAGAGAGAGAGAGAGAGAGAGAGAGAGAGAGAGAGAGAGAGAGAGAGAGAGAGAGAGAGAGAGATGTATGCGACAGGAGGATTGTGAATTTGTTTCAGCCGTTTCTCATTCTGGCATCACCATTCAGCAGTGGTCCAAATGACTGTTGCCTTCTGAATGCACATGCAAATTACTTTTCTAAAATCACAGACCCATAAAACACAATGTAAAAGTCTGAAAATGCTTTTTTTTAATACAAAGCAGACTGTGTATGTACATGCGCCATCAGTCGGTCATAAATACATGAGCAGGGCAATGGAAGTGAACTGGAATGGACTGGAAGGGGAAAGGAAAACATGCACTCGGCTCTGCCTCTATACAAAAGCACTTTTACTTCTGAGGTTTGAATTTGACGCATTTACATTATACTTTAGTGTGACCATTCTCAGTTGTAACTGAGTTATGGTCTGGAAAAGCATCATAGACAAACAATTTCCAAAGGGCGTCACCAACGGACGTAGCTCAAATGCCTCTGGGCGCAATTGGATAGACCTAAAACCAATCAGAGATGGAGGAGATGACGTATGCAGAGTGACATTCGATTAAGTTCGACGTTCGATTGCCATTAAATAAAGCACACACAGGAAACAAAACCTTAACAAAAAAAAAATCTTACAATGAACTTTGCAATTTAGACGCGCAAACTGCGTGCCGGTGTGATGACAGTGATGTACATGCTCGGGCAGATTCGGCTTTGTTTTTCTCAATTTATTGCACTGTTTTGGGGAAAGAGTGGATGTTGTAAAAATTGTGTCTTTTTACTATACATAGTAAAATATTTTTTTATCTTTCTGGTCTTTCTCACTCTCAAAGACACAACATGACTTGCCGAACAACTACAGTCCCCTACAAACTGAATTTTCAACCATACTTAATAACTAGTAGGGTTGGGTATCGTTTGAATTTGAACGATTCTGATTCCGATTGCGATTCCTTGTTTCGATTCCGGTTCCTAACGATTCTCGATTCTGATTCTTTTAAGAGGCAAAAAAGTTTAGCTAACCTTGCTAACCAACGGCCTTTCTGAAGGAAATAATCCTTTCTGAAGGAAATACTCCTTCTGTAAAAATACCTCCTTTTGTCACAAATTTTGCATTTTGCCGAGATTTCGTTATTTTTAGAAAAGTGAAGCCACACTTTGGATCGCCGACGTAAGGTACTCATATTCGACACGCGTGGTTATGCCAACACTTCCGGGTGACGCTTCTTCATTGGTGTTGTTCAGCGGTTTCTTCTTCCGCTCGGCGGACTGTGAATATCAAAACTAGGAATTGAAATGGTAACTTTTGAACGATTCCGGGAAAAACGAAAAGTTAGTCTCGGTTCCAATCGATACTCGATTCTCGATACCCAACCCTAATAACTAGCCTCCCTCAACAGCAGCATGCCCAGTTTCTTCACTCACTATCTGAACTTTATCTGCCAAGCAATAATTTGACTGGCTTACTATACACAGTAACTTATGCCTTTTAAAGAAGAACTAATCACTGGCCAGGTTAGTGGCATCAAAACACATGGACAACATTATCCACAAGAATCATTTAAGTGCTATCGCATAAACTTGAGCATAACTAACATGAAATGAGTGTGATTTGATTTGTCCTCATAGCAGGAAATTTGCGTTGCACCTGTAATGTGGTAAAAGACTGACTGGGTAGCTTACCCTGGGTCATTCCGCTCCCAACGTTCTCTGTTGGGCTGTAACCATTCTGGGCTGTTTTGTTGCTTAAATCAACCATTTGGTGGAGGCGTAGCTTCCTGCAGTAAATGGACGCAGCCTCTGGTTCCAGAGCAATGATCAGCTGATCAGGGTTGTCACGAGAAACCAGACCAGCCTAGGTGAGTACAAAACACCAAATGACAAGGCATTAAAGCAGGAATATGAAACCCAGGCTCATATTTACTTAAAAACATGTGAATGAAGATAATTAATTTTTACTCATTAACTGAAGAGTATTCAAGACTGCATTAAATTCACATTTACTGCAATTTATAAATACATAGTCTTCCTACAGACCTTATAGTAATTATCATTAACTAAGTTGTTAATTGAGATAAAGCTGAAATAAATATCAGATTAAAAAAAGAAAGAAAGAAACGACACAAAAATAAAAAAATGTTGCCTTGGCAACTAACTGAAATAATAAGTTTAAATTAAAGCATTAAATTACTAACAGGAAATACATAAAAAAAACAATAATGTAATATTTAATCATATAAAAATATATAAAAATGACGAAAGCACAAAACAAAATCAATCACTTAAAATAAAATGATAACTGAAAAAAAGAAGAAGAAGAAAAACACTATTTTTCTAATAAAACCATTTCAGAAGCACCCAAGCGGTTTTGCCGGTTGACCTCTCAAGTGTGTATATTTTTCAGTATTTTATTTACCTCAGAGTTATTTTAAATTCATATAAATAAAACAAATAAATGTATTGACAAATTGAATGTGACACTGCAAGATACTGCTGTTATTGACTGAAGTCAACCAACTATAAAATCTAAAACAGTTATTGTAGAACAACCCAAAACAACCCCACCTAAATGAGTGACACTGTTTGCTGTGAGTAGGATTGCAGGATTCTGTGAGATATGGGGAGGTGATGTAAGCAAAAAGTGATGCAGAGAGCATGACAGAGGTAAGGGTGAATGCAGTGTCCTTTCTTTAAATTCTCCTGATCCAGCAGATGAAGAGCTGAGTCACTGCGTGCCCCTGCACACACACACACCTCCTGAGGCAAGCTTTGCAGGAATTCCCATTGCAGATATCAAGTGTTGCAGGCTCCCTATTTTTCTCCGCTCTCTTTTTCCCACTGTTCTCTCTTTTCTTGCTGTGTATTGATGAAGCTCACCCGCTCTTGCCTTCCCCACCACATTTCTTCTTTTCTTTGGATTGAGATGAGAGACGCTGAGCCACACCCTGCTCTTCCACCCTTTCTGTCTCTCTTCAGTGCGAGAAAATCCACCCCACTGTTTACTACTTACTTGTCAAACAATCACTTCAGGCTTTACATTGCAAAAAGAAAATAACAATTTGGCCTAAAAAAAAATCTTCACAAAGCATCTTCAATATGACTAATATGAATGATAAACTGAAGCTGCATATCAAAACCAGGAGTAAAAAGCAAAGTCTCACCTGACCACTTGTAATCACTTAAATATCTCAATAATGCAGATCATATGACTACCATACACACACACATAGGCCACATGTCTCGACTACAGACCACACAGCGATATAGTACCACATATATGGGGGTCTCTATAGGTGGTCCAGTTAAGCCACAGTGAAAACAAACATACAAACAGAGGCTGTATCTAAGGAATGAGATAAGTGTCTTTCCTTTTTCCATTAATCTCTGCCTTTCCTCTCTTTCCATTTACATCCTGTATTTCTGTACATCTCATTATTTTTATTATTTTATATTGCCAGCAAAACAGTGCTCTTTTACTTCCTCTATTTCAATTTAACAGCTCAACTAAAGTGTTACAGTACCTTAAAACACCCACCAGGAACTGTACAACACATACTTCAAACGTGTGATTAATGTGCTTTCAATTAATGTAATGATTCAAGGGTTTCACACATTAAACATAGACCTCTCTCCAATTTCAAACACAAAGTAGGTTGTTTATCAAAGCAAGACGTGCGGCTTGCTGAGAAAGAAGCGTTGTACCTTATACGCTGCCTCTCTCATAAACTGCTTGGCCGGCATCTTCCAGATGGCCGGTACAGTGATGACCCATCTGACATCCGAATTTTCAAAGTCCCCCCCTGCTTGATCGCTCAGCTCCTGTATCCAATAAGAAAAATCCATTTTAAAGCTTTTATTCAGGAAAAACAGCTTAAATTGAAAGAAAAGGTAACAGTAAAGACATTCCTATAAAGGATTTTAATCCTGAAATAAAATTTATCATGGCTTCCTCAAAAACATTAAGCAGCACAACTTTTTTCAACTGTGATGATAATAATAATAATAATAATAAAGAAAAAGAAATGGTTTCTTGAGCACCAAATATGCAAATTGGAATGATTTCTGAACAATAATGAAGACTGAAAATTCAGCTTTGCATCAAAGGATTAAATTACATTTTAAAATATATTTAAATATAAAACAGTTGCATTGAATTATAATAATACTTCACAATATAACTGTTTTGTATTTTTGATATAACAAAATGAATGCAGCCTTGGTGAGCATACGAGACTTCTTTCTAAAACATGTTAAAATGATGTGAATTGACTGGGTTTAACATAGCATTCTGTATGATCATGTGAGTAAGACATACCTTAAGAGCCTGCTCCTTAAAAAAGGCCAGCGCATAAGCAAAAATATCCAGAGCTTTCACCCTTTTCCCATTGGCCGCATGTAAATCCGTATCAATGGATAGATTCTGCAGAAGATAAAATGACAATAAATGCCTCTCAGAAACAAGAAAGAGATTGACTAGTCAAATCAAAATGTATTTGTACTTCAATAGACTTTAATAAAACTAGACAACTCATTACCAGCATTGCTTCAGTGTCTTAAAGCTTTGATAGGTTCACCAGTTAATAATGAGTTTGTTTGCATTACTTGTTAAGTTCTGCATTAGCATATTGTAAAAAAAAATATATATTGTAGGAATGTGTCCTTACAGCAGTGGTGTGTAGCTTCATTTTAAACTTCTCCAAATAGAGCCATTGCTTCGACTCGGTGGGATCCAAGTCATGGTAAAAATCTCGGGCTGCATAACCAAAACTGTGGAACTTCTTGTCAGGGGTCAGTAGAATGGTGGTAGGTGTCTTCTGATTGGACACACCTGGGTCTCCACCCTCCCAGCGCCTAGCAACAAAGGAAAAACAACCAATGAGAGTGTGAATTGGGATATGATGGGATCAGGAAATAATTTCATTGGGTAGAAGCATTTAGCTTTTAGCTCCTAATTAAAGGTCCCCTGACAAAATTTCACTTTCTGAGGTTAATATTAAGTTCCCCTGTACATGGTTCCCCACTGGCTGTGGTGTAAACCGAGCTTTGGCTATCTTTCTCTGGCTTTGAGAAAATGAAAGCTCAGACGGGCTGATCTTGAATCTCCTCCAGATGACGTCATACGGAGGAAAAGTAATACAGAGCTGGCCTCGATGAAGGTCTGAAAATAAATCGATTGAGCTACAAGGCAACCATTTCTGATGCGTAGCCTAATTGTTCAAGTTCAGACTGGTAATCTTTCTCTCAAAATCATTCAATACTGTTGATAAACAGAAAAAGAAAACAATGGACAGATTTTTATCATTATATAATGGTTCTGTACAGGCACTGCCAACACACATTGCAGTACAATCAACTTGTAAAAGTGCATGTACCATTATATGACCCCTTTAACCAACTCAAAGCAGCTGTCTCTTTGACTATAAACAGATTTAGTAAATGAGTTTTGTGAGCTTTTTACAAGGAAATCTGAGTTTATGTAAAGGTTTAGGGACAAGACTATCAGTCCAACTCAAATAATCTGAGACCTTGGGCTATTTGTGCTTGTAAATCTGTAGCAGCAGTCAAAACACATTTCGAATTAACCAGATTGAAGCAAGGCACTGTTTTTTTCCAAAGAAGAGCAGTCTCAATTTAAATCGTTCCCTTTCTCGTCCTCATCACCCACTCTCTCGTTGTCCACATTTGACACAGTCAAAGATCCTAAATGAATACTAATGCTGTGGACAATGGAATGCTAAGAGTCCTTGTCAGACAAAGCTAAACATATCTATACTGTATATGCAATGGCCTTCTTGTTTCAATGGAAAGCAGTAGGCTTATCTTTACATTTTGTCATGCCTCTATTCACGCTTGTATTCATTTAGCTGTTTTCAAACCATCTTTTAATATGTGGATATATGTGCGCACACCATCTACAGCTGTACATGTGCGGTTTAACAAATAGAATCCCATTTACAAATTTCATAATGAATCTGATGCCTAAATGAAAACCACATGCCTATTTGGGCGGGACACACGTGGCTGACTCTGCCCAGCAGGTACTCCGGAGAGCTGACCTTAGAGTCAAAAGCCACATGACCAAGTAGGTCAGGTCAGGGTAGCAGAGCAGCTGTGGGTTTACTTTCATATACAACACACGCACCCACACAAATGTTACGTGGTTTTTGACCATACACACAGTGTGACTGTATATATCTAATGAGTCTGGGGCATCTAAGTTCCTAGAGAGGAAGACACCTGTACGTTTGACTGATATAGAGACATGACCTTCTAATGGCCAATCATATCAATGTCTTCAGAAGAGATGGACTACACATACAGGAGTACACTGTTGAACACAGGTTTTTTGATGCTCTGCTCGAACATAATTTACTCAAAAATCTACTGAAGGATTAAATAAATAAAAGGGTACTTTCTACATAAAATGATGTTACTCCAGCAAAAAAAATAAAATAAATAAATAAAAAGATATATTTAAAATTTAAAGGAATATTAATAACTACTTTTATATTATTTTAAATTATTTAATAAATAATCATTTATATTTAATTATACAATTATATTAATAAATAATAATATATAAACCTGGAAGAAAAGTACATTTTGGCCAAAATAAGCAAAAAATTTCCTCATTTGAGCTTTTCTTTTACAGGTAAACCCCCACTCTATCTCTCACTCTCTCTTTCTCTCTGTCCCTTTTGTCTCACCTCATAGTGTGAATGCACTCTGGTTCTTTTTTGAAGGCATATGCGTAGCCACTGGAGGTGGTGCCAAAGTCGATGGCCACCACCACCACATATGGGTGCCTCGTAGACTCATTCTCTTCTGAGTCATTCTGTAGAAAAACAAAAGGGAAAAGAAGCAGAGGGAAACAGAGACATGAAAAGAAGTAGAGAGATACTGTCAAGTATATGTCAAGCATTACATTATTGCATGTAATTGCAGCTCAGGGTAAATAAGACGATCCATTAAGGCCCCATTTGCACACCGGACATTTCCTTCATGTAATGGGTGACGTCATGCTGGCAATAAAAAGCTGAGCTTACCAGTACATGTGTGGGGGAAAGTGGCGTGATGCCTGGGTCGCCCATACTCTTGGCTGGAGATGGAGTAGCCATTGCATCTGCAAAGTGAAAGAAAGAAGAAAGAACAAACAAAAGAAAGAAAGAGAGTTTAACATACAAAAGGCAAGCCTATATTCAAGTTAACAATTTAGTGCATTGTTGGGCTTACACAGATAATGAGAGTATTATTAATACATTTTAGTGTTTTAAAAGACATGTTTTGCCTTTGTATAGTAATTTTTTTTTTACTGTTTGGTTGTCAGTTGAGAAACAATCTATTAAGATAAAGCTATTTTAAAGTGCCATTTGTGAAAAAGTCTATTGTTCATAGTGTAGCGATATATATGAAGCACAGCTCACACCAGTCAGTTTCAAACCTAGCAGAGTTCTGTTGCTCAATCTGTGAATCCCGGTGAATACGCATTACCAACTTAAATCTGTTGCCAAATCTTTCAACCCCAGGAGTGATTGGGATCACATGGAATCAAATTTAAATGAAAATTCCCCCCAAAAACGTATTATGACCACTCAGTAAGTTCTCCATTTGAATGTTTTTCCCAAACACGTTTCTCTGTTTTATAGTGCGTCTGTTGGATCTTTTTGAAAACAAGTCAAAATACTGTAATTCTTAAAGATAACCCAAAATTAATTAAAATACATTTAAATGGCATTGGGAATATCAGAAGTACTCTAAGGTGCAGTTTCATGGTCACAGATGGAGAACAGGACTAAATGGCACCATCAATGGTGATTCTTCACTGTAAATTATTTTCAGTGGGAACGAGACTTAAAAGCCTCAATTAATGTTCAGCGAATTCGTCTGAAAGACCATTCATTTGACCATACTTTTATTTATAACATTGCTTATGTCTAACATTTTACATGATTTGGTCATAAAATCATCAAATCCTTTAAGAGCTTTAGACCACTACAGCAACAGCTGCTCCCCTCCACACTGACATTTGAATCGAATTAGAGGTTGTATTTGTCCATTCCCGTCGTCCTCATTAGCCGGGCCTAATAGCTTCACTAAAACACTTGGATGCTGAGCACCCCGAACACTAAACGAGCGCCCGGGTTCCTCGCTCCGCGGGATGCCACGTTTTTCTGAGCATTCATCCTTTTTTCCCACCTTTACCCCATACTGAGCGGCAGAGTGAACAGAAAAAGCGTGGCGCTCTTCAGCGAGTAATTACGGGTTGAGTGACAGGCTACCTGCAGCTCGCACTTCATTTCAACCACTCACCACATGCACAAGCTCCCAGCTACCGAGATTAATTTTAAAATGGGACAATGGAACGTCAAAATCAATACTGAAGGAGTAAAATGATTGTCTATAATGATAAATGCCTATAAGTGAAGTGTTATTCAGAAACACACACTTGACCGTCTTTTTATACTTTTCCACGAATGGATTTGCGGGTTAAAGGAACTTAAGTTTGTTTACATGGCAACACGGCTCACTGTACGGGGACTTACACGTGAGGGTAATTACACAACATCAATGGCGACCGTTTCCCTGGTGTCTAATTGAGAGCTATACTTGATTAGGGCTGTGATTGTGTTTTGTATGTATGTGTGTGTGTGTTACATGTCTTTTCAATAACGCTCTTTAAGTAACAACAGAGAATCCAAACATGCGTGGGAACTGGAAAGCAGAAAATGGGCATAAACGGTGGGAAATTACTTGCATTATGACCAGAGTGTGAAACGGACCAATTCCTTTGATTTTCCTGCTGTTTTAAAGACTTATTTACACATAAAAGAAGAATGAAAAGAAATGTATCTACAGACTAGCCTGACCTGAATTGATGTACCTTGAATTGTTGTCAACAAGAAAAAAAAAAACTATGTAAATCAATTCTTTTACTCAGGATTGGCTGACATAATGAGCTGTTTTAACAAAACTTACACAATAAATAAAATACAATACAATATAGTAAACTATCAAGGTGAATTTATCACTTCAAGTTGTTGGCCATTTAAAATTTTGAAAGTTCACTCAGCTGGTTTTTGGAAAAGTTCAAATCCAACTCACATCTAAAGTTTCAGAAAACACAGAACACAAAATGACTCTTTTAATGAGGCGATCATATATACTAGAACCATTACACATGCGTTGATCCAAGCAGCAAAAATAAACACAAATGAGAGAGAGGATGGAGAGAGAAAAAAGTATCCTGTTTTCACCCCTCCTCTAGTCCACATGAGAAAGGGAGTGAATAAACGGGGTGTTCGCTCCATTCTGGAATGTTATACAAACTTCTGACAGGAAGCAGGAGGAGTCAGAGGTCATCCCTCCTCTGTGGAATTACAAATTCAGAAGAATTCCAAGCAGCCAGCCCAGTACACAGAAATAAGAGAGTTCAGAGACATATGGACCACTGACATGCATGCACAGACAAAAGCGATCTTAGGTCTGGAATCTATTATGTATAAAATATGCAACATTGTGATATAGTTGAGTCAAAGTGAAGAGTGAGAATCAGGGATTTTTTTTTTAAATATGAAGGTTGTACAATCAACTCAAAATGCCAGTCTTCTCACTTTCCTGTTTATTTATTTATTTATTATTATTATTGATAATTTGAGCATCTCTAGATATTGAGCATCTCTCAAAAAGCATTCTGATTCTTCCAGTTTTTGATTGGACTTCCAAAGAGAGAAATAGCTTCAAGGGCCTTCAATCTGGTTGATAATTTTATTCCATGGCTAGCACACACAGATACAAACATCTGTAAATTATTACAACTCTGGATCAAACACTACAGTTTTGATCCTTTAATTATTATTATTATTTTTTTTTTACAGTTCTCAAATCTCAACATGTCAGAGACCTCTTACTCTATAACATTTGGTCTGAAATGTTTCCAAAAATAATAACCAAATGCAGAGATAAAGAAAAGCAAATCCATCATGATGTCAAGTAGAGAATTCCCTGGTAAGTGAAAACAGATCAGGGAAAGGGAAAATGCAAAAAGTGTCTCCATATCTCAAGCTGAATTTTTATTTATTCTTTTTTTTTTTTTAAATAAATATAACTTTCCAATGAAGTTTCCAATACAGTTTAAAACTGAAGCTACACTGTAGTGTGTGATCCCAGTGTCTGTGTATGCTAGCAATGACAAATTCAGTAACTTGATTGAAGACACTTGAAGCTAATTCTCTCTTTAGAAGTTCAAAATACAAGTACCTAAGCTTGGTTAATGTTTGAATTTTAGCGATTTTTGATTCCAAATCCAATTGTAAGTCGCTTCGGATAAAGGCATCTCCGAGTCCTAAGTGATTAAATATAAATGATTTTTAAGGCCTGAAAGCACAACACACTGAGCTCAGTTATATACTATCAAGCTATACAGCTATCAAGACAAGCCATCTCAAAGACATGCCATTGACAGGGCAGGGCTGCTCCAGTTCACATGTATGTGAAGGTCCATTTAGAAACGCAGCACTATAAATGCCAAAAACACAGCCAGTCGGTCATCTCACTCACACTAACTGTGTCCAGCTGCCCCTATTCACTCACAAACACAAATACACACAAATAAACACTCACATTCATACACAAACATTCCTCCCACACACAGTGGGTGAGTGAAGACACACAACAGCTGCTCTAATCGTATTACTTTCTCTCTGTCTGTTAGGGATAATTAATCAATGATCGTACCGTAGTTACATACTATTATAAATAATAACGTCTTGAAGCCATTCAATGGATTAGGTATGCTAGCAGTTTATTTTGAAACAATTAACCAAGGGTCCAAAAACCCCTCCAAACAAGTAATTTTAGTGAACATAAGAACTACTTAGTGTAAACACCACAATAAAAGTACATCGAATAAACAAATGAGTGGTGATCTTCTAGTGCTTTTTCAGCTGTGTGCTCCTATTCTATGGTGCATAGTAAATCAAGACCTGACAATCTGGAGTGTATTTCCCAAAGCCAACTATGGCCGCAAGTTCCGTGGTTATCAATACAATTCAACAGAACTTGCGACCTTAGTTGGCTAAAGATGCTTTTGGGAAACGCACTCCTAAGTAATCCAGCTGTAAAACAGTGTCCAATTGGTCTCTACACAGCGCCCCTATCCACCTATATACCACACCTGAGATCCAGGAGAAATGTTAAGCAACCTCAATTATTTTCACAATGTTTTTCTTGTGCCCCATATTGGGAAAAAAAAAGAGGATTATTTAGTGTTAAACTAGTTAACACGCTACTTTATTGCACTCCAATATATCCTTGGTAGAAACCATAGACTGTAAGGTAGAAACATGATCTCGTGCATTCAGTCGCTTTGCTTCTGAAATGCTCCTGGTGTGAGTTGGCACCACGTGGACGACGGAATAAAATTTTTGAGCCGTAATACGCTGCAGACGTGTACTGTGTACAAAAGGGGTTGAGAACAGTTCAGACGGTACTCATTTATTGTTATCTTATTCATAAATGTTTAGAAAAACACTTAAAGGGATAGTTCACCCAAAACTAAAAATTAAGTCATTAAGTCCTCACCCCCATGCTGTACCAACCCCGTAAGACCTTCGTTCATCTTTGGAACACAAATGAAGATATTTTTGATTAAATTTGAGAGGTCGATCACAGCTACATAGGCTCCTAAGGGTTCGAAACTTGACAGCCCAAAAATGTATTGAAGAAAATGTTTAAATATTCCATGTGACTACAGTGGCTCAACTATAAGTTTATCAAGCGACGCAAATACTTTTTGTGCAAAAAACAAAAATAACGACTTTATTTGACAATTCCTATTCTTCCTTCCTTAGGCTTGAGACGAGAGTTCAAGAGATTTTAAATTATTCGTAATTTTAAACAATGAGCATGAACAATTTAAATATCCAATATTGGCCAATATATATCGGGCCTTCCTAGTCGAACACATTACACTTAAATCTATCTAGATTTTAGGAAAATTTGAAGACTGATAGGCTTTAAGCTTAACTATTTCCTACAGAACACAATTCTGTAAACTAGTTAGCCGTTGTAGCTGATGATTCGGTTTACTACTAGATGCTAAGAAACATAATTAACATATCTGCG